TCAAACCAATTCTAAATAAAAAAAAATTTACACAAAAAATAATTTTTCATAAACTGTCTGGCTTTCTTTTAATAAACTTCTCACAAAAGTAAGTATTGTGACACTATTTAGCTATGGTAATTGGCTAACTAATTAAGCATGGAAATTAAAAACGAGAAATATTTAAGGTGAGAAAGAGCTATAACGAAAGACATACTGAACGACATTTTTTTTTTAACAAAAGAAAAATGGGTAAAGATTTTTATTTTCATTTATAAAGAAAGATATTTTTTTCGCAGAAGACAGAAAATTCTTAAGAGAAGCAGGTTTCAGATTCTGTCGGAGTTAATTAATGTCATGATAAGAGAGTGAAGTGCCAAGGGAAACAGAATACGGGTAAAGAATAACAATCTGACCACACGCATAGCAATAATAAAAATTTCGATTCAGTCAGCTGCATGAAAGCAGAAATAATCGAAATTCGGTTATCTTAAAAACCAGCAAAGAAGCCAGCCGTATGAACACAGACCTTGATATGCTCAATGTCATTGCTTGTTCGGGCTGTCAGCTACAGACTTTCTGTCACTGAAAACGGGCATCTGGAAATACGATCAAATTAAGACACGAGAAAGACAAAGGGATTTAGTCTCCAAATGGAAATGACCACCCAGTTAAAAATTGACTGGCGGTAGTTAATGAGCCGGTGAAAATTCCGCTAATGAATTCCAGGTGAATTCTGCTAATTGTAAACTGATGCCAGTCTAGCCACCCACACACTGCCAAGAGTTCATTGGCTAAAGTGGTAGCATGGGTGATAGACGGAGGTGAATGAATGAGAAAGAAGGGAAACTTGTTGACACCCACTGAAGGGATTGGTATGAGATACCAATATGAGAAAGGAAGAGTTTGGGAGGATAATTCTCCTCCGACCTCTCCTCACAGAAGAGGGAGAACCCCTCTAAAACAGAAAGTAATTGACTTCCAAAAATGGGAAATAATAAATTCTCCTGTTCAAATACAAAGAGAATCCTTATTGGGGATTTGGAATTAACAAAGAACCCGAACCATGACAGGTCCCAACTCGGTTTTGGTCGATGTCCATATAAACGAACGTCCCTGGGCATTCAGTCAGTAAGAGTGACAGTTCCAGAGAGTTCCTGTGAGTAGCAGTTAAGTTCAGTCTCAGTTGGAGACCAGCCTCGCAGGAGCTGACCGCAAGATTTCCACATCTTCTGACTTCTAACCAAAAGCAATTTTTAATGAAGAATGACTTAGACTTTCACCACCAAAGCAAGTTTTAATGACTATCGACTGAAGATGCCAAAAAAGCAGTTTATTGAAAAACAACTTAAGATACCATAACTCACTTAAGAAATGCCAAAAAGTGTCACGAATCCATAGAGCGGGCTGGGAGAAAGACGCACTCCTGTATTCAGCAGACAGATATAAAGATACTTGTTATGTCTCAACACATTTGAACCTCGTGAGTTTGTTTCATTATTTTTCTTTTACATACACTTGTGCGGTATCACCTTTACCCTGGATTCAGCTTGCACTACGGCCCGATGCCTGATTTATTTCGTCTACCTAAGATCAAATCACAACGTGGGTAGGTTAGACTAGAGATCAAAGCAGTTACTTCGGTAACCAGACGTTGGAGGCGAGCTGTGACGACAAAGCTGATATCGAATCTAACCAGACATCAACTGTGACCAAGACAACCAGAGGGGTTAGTGTCAGAAATGGTTCCATGGTAAACCAAGTTTTTACCTAAACCAGCTGAGGGTTAGCTTGTCACAAATGGTGCTGCAACCAGCGCAGAGTTAGAGTGTCACAGTATATAAAATTGACTATTTAATATTTATCTGCTTACACTTTTTCATTAATTATTACTTTTAATTATTTTATACTACTGATTAATAAAAAGACAGGTGTTGGGAGGCCAGTTCTGTGTCAATTGTGAAGGGAATGTCTTGTAAATGAGTTGAGGTAGACCTGTTCTGTGGACTGAATGTCACTGTGGTCAACTGTGAAGAGAATGTCTTGTAAACGAGTTGTGGTAAGCGGAGATGATGGCAGGTATTGGTATCAATGAAGGTTTGTAGCTGGGAGGAATCCAGGGTGAGATGTTTCAGGTTGAAGCTGGATAGATCTGTTGGGTGAAGTCATGGTTGAGATGTTTTGAGTTGAAACTGGATTGCTGAGGTGGTAGGTTAAGCCTGGAAGTAGCAATGGTCGTTGCGTAGTGGCAGTGATGTTCACGGTAGTAGTGCTCTGTGTTGCAGCCAGTCCACAACTCTGTTGTCATGGTGATGGTAGCAGCAGCACCCTGTGTGATGGCTGGTGGCTGTGACTGTGTCCTGGTCATTCTCAGAGCCTGTTTTGAAGCAGGTCTGGTAGTCCCAAGGGGCATCTCTTTTACTGGAGGGAGAGAACTCACTTTGTAGACTAGACACCTAATGCGCAGAAAATGACTTTTGTTATTTTGCTTTCTGCCTTTGTGGCATTCACATCTGGTCAGCATGCAGAATGAATCAGAAAGAGATCTAATTGTGACAGAATGTAACAATAGCAAAAGACGGGGCGTCCTTTTGATCAAAATGAAATATCCTTATCCAAGTACTCTGGATAATGTAGTTTCAGAATATATATGGTTATTATTGTGGAGCTCACCCCTTGTACTCAAGATGGACTCGTCCAAAGTATACTTATACTACGGAGAGATAGCTTGACAAAAACGTTGAGACAGGGTGTTCATTCAGAGTTATATGAAAGTCCAGAAAGAGAGATAATTACAGCTTCACTTACAGAGACTTTTGCATATACTTTTCTACTAACCTGCATTCCTGGACTACTAATCTTCATTTCAAGTTTGTATTCTTACGTTTAATACACATATTTTTCTATTTCAATTACTGGCGTTGTTTATTTATTTGTGCAGGATTCCATCCTCGGAATCCACAACAGTTATGGGGTCTATCTTCAAAACCCTAGTTAGATTGGCTGACCTTTTAGATCTTGCTCTTGCTTCTTGAAGATGATTCAGACAAGCAGATTGAAAACTGCTGAGTCCACTAAAACACATTGATCTCCATTCCACCCACTCCAAGGCTAAGCGCTCAAAGGGTGTTATTTGGTATATATATATATATATATATATATATATATATATATATATATATATATATATATCACATAACACCCTTTGAGCGTTAAATCAAATTGAATTCTCTCAGTCACAGTGTATTTATACAGTTGCCTCTAGCTAGGATCGAAACCTGACTGAATTGAAATGCTCCTGAAAAATTTATTTCGGTTGAGCTCTCTGGGGAGGAAGTGTGGGTTTGTAAACAGTGACTATTACGGCAATTATGCAAGACTCTTTGTTAAATCGAATTGAGTTCTCTCAGCCACTGTGTATTTATCTAAAAATAAATACGCTTAAATTCACCTTCATCCCTGCTGTATGCCAACGGATTAGTGGTAGAATCTCTGACTGATACCAATTCAGTCGGTTTTTAATTCTAGGTAGAAGCAACCAGATGTCTAGTCACACTGATGAGCTGTGATGCAGCGAAACAGTCTTTATGTGGATGACTATATATATATATATATATATATATATATATATATATATTTGGTTGGATAGATGTGAGTTTGTGACCCTGGGTTTCACGCTTTAGCTCTATCTCTGATATTGAGCGCTTTCTAATAAGTACCGCACATATAATATATAAATAATTATATATATATATTTATTTATATTTATATACACACACTTTTCACACATATATAGTTTAAATATAGTTTCAAACTCTTCTGGGGCCCTCCTTATAAGTCTTTTATGGGTTTAAATTAATATTTTTTAACTGAACTTTTTTCATCAGACTCCAATCTGATTAAACACAATCCCATATTTTTCTCCTTCTAATATCTTTATTCCTTTCCTCAGAATTATCAAGTGTCTCAATATCTCAAGTCACTAACCACTTTACGTGCACTAGTATAACTCAACGAGGACACTGCCCCACTACTTGTAAACCAGCATGCTCATTTTGTTAGTGTCAGTAACCTTCTCCAGATTTTGAATCAAACCCTTTATTTAACCCACATGTGTAGATTGTTTCATTTCACTTTCCATGCTTAGTTGGTAATTCATTTACACTATTTATATTGTTCAGACTATTGTCCTCATCTTTGTTTCCATATTCACAATGCATCATTGTATGCTCTGGCCATCTTCAGGGGATTGTATTTTAAACTGAACCCTTCATTTCGTCCACCAGGGTAGATTGTTCTAGTTCCACATACCACACCTCTTCCAGATATCTCAGTATCAGTTATCTCCCTTTTAACTCAACTTTACAAGTTTTTTTCACCTCTGTTGTAGACAGGTATTGAACTCACACCTCTTTGGGTCAAGTCACTGGATTCAACCTCAAGCCACATGGCCCAAGGATTGAACTTGCAATTATCAAAGAACTAGATATGATTTAACTGACAGTTTAATCAACTAGTCTATGTGTCTCTTAGACATTTCAAGGGGTGTAATTTTTTCGACTTTAAGTTATAAAAACATAATAATGATAATTCCTTATCTAAAAAATTTTGACGTAACACCCAAATAAATAAAATTATATATAACTGACACGCAATACAGCAATTCACTAAGCATAGCTTAATTGTGACATAAGGCCAAATGTATGAAGCACCCAGTGAGGATTGAACTTGCTAGTCAGTTGTAATTGATCTAGTGAGACTAGCTTACTAACTGTTACACCACTTCAAAGTGCCCAAACTGACACAATATAACGTTCAATGACACATAATAGATATTTATATTATTGTATTCATTCCACATTCAGAAGATACCAATTTGAATATGAATAAGAAAAAATACATAAATTCAAACTATTTTCAGTTGTACTTGCTCAAAAATAGTTAGACTATAATTGCTCTCTATATATGTGCTTTTGAAATAGTTTTGAATATTTTGTTCATAAATAGTTATTTATTTTTAGGGCAGCATCTTATTACTGCATTGGCTGACAGCATGTTTGGCTTTAAAACAACATCCTGGTGAGTTACTTTTGTCATATATTAGTTATAACTGTTTTATTGTAACAGTTATTTTTATTTATATTATTAACTGTACCATTTAAGATAGAGCCTTGAATGATATTTTGTTATAAACTCATTGATGTTTTTGTAATTATATTTTCTAACTATAGTTTACTGTAGATTTGCTAGGAATTCTTAAGTATTGGCTCCTATATTTGTAACAGCAATGACAGCCACAGGAGGAGCAAACACTTCAGCCAGCAACAAAAGAAAACTCCATATCTGATTTTACTGAGATATGAAACCTAATTGATGTTTTATCATCTTAGTTTCAAGTGAGTGTTATGTGAGAAAGTTTCATGTTGAAATTATTTAGACCTGTGACTTACCAATCAACAAGCTCTTTCAACATTCCTGAATTTGATGGCTTATTGCCTGATCAGTCTGTAGTCAAGTGGATTAAAAAAGCAAAGCTGATGTGCAATCTGTGTGGGATGAAATGAATTGGGCAGATCCTTTTCTGCATTTGGTTGGTAGGGCATTTGATATCTATTAACAGCTGACCAAGGAGCATAAAACAAATATAACATGTAAAAAGCACTGTATCCAGCATTTGCAACTGACTTGTTTGTTTTATACAAACAATTCACAACATGACAAGTGAGTCTGTGCATGTATCCCTCATGGAACTGTGTCATCTCAGTAACATTTCTGAGTTATGTCTGATTGTAGCTTGGCATGTTTATGTGTAGCAGGGTTTTCAGACCATTTCAACTGCTTTGCACATCTGCAAGTATGGATGAAATAACTATAAATAAGCTATTAAGCTTAACTCGAGCAGTAATGATCAGATGACAATATAGAGACTGGCATTGGCAACTGCTTGACTGATGCAATCAAGTGTAGATGCAACCCTGTTAGTGGGCAAGGCAGCAGCATCATGTTATAAGTGTAACAGCCAAAACCACTATGCAAGGGACTGCATGTGCCTATGTGTAAGGATGAATGGTAGTTGTTCACGAAGTGAATGCATTGGAATGTGATTGCAGTGTTTCTATTGTAAGAAAGTAACCATATATCATTGGAATGTCAAGAAAAGAGAAAGAATATCAGCACCAGTTTCTTTTCTAGAACAAATATAAACCTGGCACTACTCCTAATCATGGTCTAAGTTAATGAAAAGCCATACACAGTGCTTGTCAACTCAGATTGCTCTTAATCAATAGTGAGCAGGGACATGTAGTAATCATGGGTATCTTCATACTGATAAATATTGCTGATGAAGAGACCAACACATATTGTAGAGTCGGCATTGTCAACTTTGGAACGTATTGTAACAGCTGCATTAAGTTTGATGGCTTAATGTCAGGAGAAAAACCATTGGTTTTCAACCTTTTGAAATGGAATTTCTAGGCAGAAAAAAAACCCAGAATAGATCATGGTAATCTGAATAAACCAGATTTCAGCATTGAATTTAACCACAAAAGGAAAGTGCACCTTGAATGGATTACAGGGAACAAAAGCAGCACATTGATGCATTCATGGTGAATGCAGATGTATGCATGTACATAAAAAGAGAATGACAGTAACAGTGGTTCAGTGTGTTCCTATTGAACCTGAGGAAGACTTATCTGCAAGTGCACATCTGTAATTCACTGTATCCTTTCCAAATCATACCCTGGAGATATTGTCTCAATGTAGCGCCTTTTGATAATGAGATCAATCATTGACTCAGTGATGTCCTAAGATGAGTCAATTTGTCAGTATATATTGATGATACCTATATTGATTAATGTGTCGTTTCTGTAGTACATGTGAGAAAGAATCTGTTCAGTTTTGGACTAACCATTTAGGACCCAGAAAGACTGGAAGTGGTAATGAAAGTGACTTGCAGGTCTGGGTTGGCATCCCATGTTTTGATGCATGCATAAAATGGTTCAAGAGGTTCCAGGTACCATCACCTGTTGAAATGTTTTCTCCTTATGTATGAGGCATGTAGAATACTTTCTATTATGTGGCTGGCTCAGGATGGTAGCAGCATTTATAAAACAACTGTCCAAAAGTTACTAAAAGATTGGATGATGAAGATCATAATATCTCCCTTGTGTGTGTGTGTGTGTGTGTGTGTGTGTGTGTGTGTGTGTGTGACCAAAAAATGATAGTAAGGGCTGCTGAAGTAGCACTGAAATTAAATGGGGATGTCATTGAAGTATCTCTAGCTTCTTGCATCCAGCTGGAGATACTCAACACAAATGTTTGGCTGAGCTCAATTCAACAATAGAAGGCATCAACCTAGCCCTCTATTGGCAAGTAACAGTATTCTACATAGTCATTTATTCTGCATGCACTTATTGCTGATTTCAGATACTCTAACTAGAAAGGCATGACTGAATACAAAGGCTACAAATGAGATACTAGTAAGATGGTTGGAAACATTTCAGGCATTCTCATTTAATGGTTCCTAAAGTTTATTTTTATCAAGAATGAAAAGAAACTCTTTCAAGACATGCTTCTGATTTTGCTAACATTCAATAAAATTTAATTGCTTCCTGTTTTTATACCAGGTGGTTAGGAGTTAAAGTGTCTCACATTGAGCTTGATACCCTTGAAATTAGCAAAGAACAAATGAAGTCACTTGAAGTTGCTGTCAATCAGAAAATTAAGGAAGCAAGACCTGTGAATGTCAAGATATACAACTCATTTGCTGCTCCTGCATTAGCTGAGGTAGAAAATCTTTTCAACTGAAAAAATTTTTAAAGTGTGTATTTATATTTACAACTGTTTGCATTTAACTTTCTCACATTGTTTTTGATTGTTCAATATTTAACCTATTCATAATTTTGATTGAATGTAAAGCTTTTATTTAATGTAAACTTGCTATTAGTATTTGCCTTGTACTTTTCCATCTTAAATATGAAACATTCAACTGGAATCTAACATCAACTGAAGGTGTACAATATTAGTAGTTATAAGATGCAAGTTCACACTTTATTAAAAATGTTTTTTCTTTTAATTTGTATATAATTATATTCTGTCCATTATAGTCAGTGCTACTACCTTACTATTATGTGTTGCTTTTAATTGTGCATATTTTTAATCAGGATGAAAGTTTTTTATGTTTAAAATATGTTTAATGCTCTTAATTTTATAAATTGATATATATAAAATGATATTACCTCTCTTATCAATAGGTCAGAGCTCGGAGTTTACCTAAAGATCACACTGGACCAGTGAGGGTTATATGCATTGATGGTATAGATGAAAATATGTGTTGTGGAACACATGTTAATAACCTCAGTCAGCTGCAGGTGAGTAGTTTCATTAAAAATCAAGTAGAAATACAAAATTTCCAAGTGAAGAAGTTACTACAAAGTGAAATTATTTAAATCCTGGTTGCCTGTTATTATTTTACATCAATGCCCTTACAATTGGAATGAATTTAACTTTCAGTGTCATATTCATTTGGTTATATTATTGATTCAATTTGATTTAAATAAGAAAGTCTCCTACATTAAACATCTACTTTATTTGCAAGCAATAGTTTTCAAAAAGAATTAAACATTAAGAGGAATATATTTATCCTGTATTGTAGATGAACCCTGTCTTGTCACTAAACAGTAAATACTGCAATCCATTCTCAACACACACTCACACTCAATGGAGCATTTGAAATTTGTTTTTTTTTAATTTTCTGATAGACATTCCTTCCATTTTCTCAAATTATATTTTAGATTTGTGCATGCTGATTTTTTGCTAAATTTCGCCATAATTTGCAAGAAGACTGCAGAAACTGTACTTTTGCATTTATTTTTCATATTAAAATTTGTATTGCAAAGAGGTCAGGGTTTTTTCCCTGTTTTTCTTTTATGTAATGTGTCTCTTCAGGATGTAGGCAATCATGGCCCTCTACATCCTCCTGGATCTTATAGCTCTTAATAAGTTTTGACTTTTTGTTATTTCTCCCAGACCCTGTTCTGCCATCCATTTGCTCAAGCCCATTAACTATGTCACACATTGCTTTGCCCTGTTCCTCTTTCCTTCTATCCATCCTGTGAGTATCAGATTTTCCAAGCCCTCTTTCCTATTCCCCAGAAATTTCAACTGCCTCTTCCTGATGTTAAGTATAAGTTTCCTCTTTGTTTCCATTCTCTTAAAAACCTTGTTGTTGCTCACATGTTCGGCCCATAGTATCCTTAGCATACTTCTGAAGAAACGCATTTCTGTTGCTTCAAGTCTCTTCTTCATCTTTGAGGAGATTATCCAGCATTCACTGCCATACAGGAGGGCAGATATCACGTAACAATTCAATACTCTTTTCTTTGTTTCCAACAAAATTTTTCTGTCTCTTAATGCTCTGCTTAGCTTTTGGAATGCATCTTTAGCCTTTCCAATACATCTTCAGATCTTAGTGTTGCACTTTCTATCCTCTGTTAGAACACTTCCCAGATATTTAAATATCTGTACCTTCTTGATTTTAGTATCCCTGACCTGTAATTTGCATTTGGGGCTCATCATTTTGCTGATGACCTTGCATTCTGTCTTCTTATAGTTTATGCTTAGTCCCTTCTTCTCGCTCTCTTTCACTAGATTTTGTAGTTCCCTTTCCATGTCTGCACTGTGTCATCTGCATATCTAACATTGTTAAGATTGTGGCTACCAATGATGAATGCTGGTAGGATTTCTAGTTCTCTCAGAATTGTTTCGCTGTATAGGTTGAATAAGTCCGATGAGAAGACACATCCTTGTCTTACACTACTTTTTATTTTTGTATGTCTAATGAACTCATTTTCAACCATATGCAGGTGGTTTCCTGCCAATATAGATTTTTGATTAGTGTTTTCCGAATATGTCAATGTTGATGAGCAACTCTAACAGATCTTGGTGGAGTACTTTGTCGAATACCTTTGCATAATCTATAAAACACCGGTACACGTCATGCATTTGTATTGCTCTTTCTGATAACACTCTGAGCATAAATATTGCGTTCCTTGTTCCGGTGCCTTTGATGAACCTGCACAGTTCTTGTCATATCTTTGGCCTGATTCTACTGAACACAAGATTGATCAGAATTCAGATGATTAGTTTCATTATGTGGCTCATTAGACTGATTGTTCAGTGGTGTTCACATTCGTTTTCTTAGTCAATGTTATGAAAATAGATCTGCTTAAGTCTTCCAGTATATCATCACTGTTGTGAATTTCATTTATTATTTCTGTAATCTTGTCTATGTCAAAATCATCTAAGTTATTCTCTTTTGTTGAGATTTCTGATATATTCATTCCCGCATTAAGAATTTTTTTCTTTCTCTGAGTATTCCGTCCTTGAATTTTATGCAGACTGTTGATGAGCATATCTTCTGTCCTGTTCTCTTATGTTTTATGCATATCTCCTTTATCTGTGATACTCATTCTCTCTATTTCTGCACATTTTTCATTGAGTCATTCTTCTTTAGCCTGACAGCATTTGTGGTTTATTTCATTGTGTAGTTTTCTGTATTCCATTCTATGCCTTGGCATTGTTTTCTGTCTCCTATGCATCATGTCATGAATCTCATTTGTGATCCATTCATTTTTTTCTTCTTTGTCCATACTCCTTTGGGAGGATGTCATTTGCTGAGGTCACTAAATATTCTCTTAGTGTATCCCATTTCAAGTTTCCATTTTGTCTCAACAATGGAATATGAACAGGATTTAACATCATTTGATCATGGAATGATTGTTGTAACCAAAATGATTAGGCATTCTATCTCTGAGGTGACAACTGCTCTCAGTTTTAATCAGACAAAAGTAATAACGCTATAGCAGGAATATGTGAATTCCAGACTGACATCTGCAGCATGTGATAATTATAGGCACCCACAGATGATGCAATACCACTGGCAATTGACAAAGATGGCAACCACTCCAAAAAGGAGACATTGCATCAAATCACATCCTAACAATGTCATCAGAAACCACCAGAGCACATAGACAAAAAGAAACTACAGATCACAAACCACATATACAATGCACTTCATTGAAAACACAAACTGAGGATAATACCTAGTAGCACCAAGTTAACTGCCTATAAATGTTTGCTGCTTGATATATGGAGATGCTGTCTACTAAAATGTTAGCACAAAAATACAATACAAGATGTAACTTTTCATGTCATTGAAACAAATTTGGTAGCCATATTAGGTTTGAAACATAGTTATACCATGACCTCTCCATTACACCTCCAGGCTGCATAAACATAGACAAAATTGTGTCAGACAACTTTTTGAAGGAATCCCTAAGTCTGTTGGGAAATACTCCCTTCAAGTTGACCTTAATATACTCCTCGTGATACACCCTCCCTGGAAGGTGCCCATGGTCTTACACAATAAACTAAGATATTGTCACAGATGGAAACAGAAGGCATGTTAAAGGTCATAACACCCACACATTGTGTAAACTCAATTGTACTCTTGGAATTACCCTAAAATACACACCGAATAATGTAAACTCATAGTCTCTGTTTCAAGTCATTTTGATACCCTCTCTAATCTTCATTTTATATTTCCAGTTAAAATTTTTGAACTGTTCTTTCTTTAATTTAATTTCCTGCCAATCCATACTTTCATTAGCATTTTTCTTAATCTTTTAGCTTAACCCTTTCACTGTTAGAAATTACCATTTGCAACTTACATCCATCAACAAAACTTCAAACAATGTTGTCACTTAATTACATTCCTCCCCCATTTATTATTGTAATGTGTCCATACTAAACAGTACATCCAGTTCATTAGGGCGTAAGTATTATACATAAGTGTATATTATTTCTGGTCCATTAGAAGAAAAAAAAATTTAATAGACAAGTGTTGTGCATGCTGTTATATTACCTAGTAATCTCTCTTGATAGAAACTCTTGAGTAAGGAGTATTACCTTCCTTAGTTTAATATACTAACCCCCTCTTCGCTTTTTCTATACCATTCTTCTAGCAATAAACGTGTGTACATATGCTGGTTGTCCTTATTTCATCTCTATGCTGAACCTAGGCAAAAAACTAAACATGGTGTTAGAAGTGAAGGATTAAAACAGAACAATATGAACTTGGGCCCGATGCAACAGAATTCATCAAAAAAAGAAGTTTTCCGTCGACTCAAAGGAATTTACTTGAAACAAAGATAACAACACCATGTACCTATAGCTAGCATTAAGTTAACAATTCAAATTCTTATGGGACTTTCTTCCTAACTTGACATGGCAACTTCCCACATTCCTCCATCCAGTATAGATTGGCATAGTCCTAACCTTGAAAAGGAAAGGAACAAATTTATGTGTCAAATAATGTTACATTTCCACAAGCCACTCTGCAACATTAGTGATAATGGAAAAATTAACTTCCTGTTAATTTGGGCTGGGAATGAGAGCCAAGAATTAAGTGAGACATTTGTCTTTCAGAGAGAGGAGGAAAAGAACATGGAAGGCAATGTCGCCAAGAGGCTAATGATTCAGCACATGCTTTTTTAAAAAGGCTGAAGCAACTAATAAAACAGTGTGTGTATAATCAGTACAAACCTTAGGTTGACACAGAAATCCATACTAAAGGAGGGAAGAGATTTGACAATTGTGTCAGCTCTGAATATAGCAGAAACAAAGGGAGATACAACCAGGAAACTGGAGGTTATACATGCCTTGAAAGAGCCAATTGCTACGCACGCAATTAGAGATAAAAGAAACTGTAAATATTATGGAACAAATCATGAGGTCAAAAAATGTCCACCTAAGGGTAAAACATACATGTAGTGTAAGAAACTTTGTCATTTTGCAAGTGCATGCTACCCAAGCAGGAAAAGAACAGAAGCTAAAATGAAGGTGACTAGCACATTGCATGGATTATGACAAGTGTCATAACATACACACAGCAGAGCAGTGGTGAAAAGACTCCTGTACATCTATTTGCACTTGGGTATATGGCAATAGAATAAGCAGTCACATGTCTCCTCGGAGTGAGACACACACATTTACCAGTGCTACATTCCATGTGGTGAACACAGCTGCACCAATTCTGATAGGGTTACAGATGTCCAGGAAACTAGGCTTAGTAACACTCAACCTAGTAGCTCAAATGGATGACCCTGACATAGATGGACCAAAGGAAAGGTCGGAAAAGACCAAGCTGCAGAACAGGTGAGATTACCTCTAACAGAATTACCACCCAAACAAAATGTCAGAACATGGGAACATGTCCTGACAGAAATCCCCAATGTAGTCCCTGTATCACTAAGGGATAAATTTAAGGCAGAATTGAATCTACTCATGAAGCAAGGCATCATATTGCCTG